CTTATCCTGCCGATTGACCCCAACTTCTCACCAGAAGAGAGACCTCAACAAACGCGGCCTCTCCCGTCAACACCAGCTCAAGGCTTAAGACTCGCTTTTTGTCCAAGCCGTTTTGGGCAAAAAAATATATATGCCCATGCACTGGGGTCCCTTTGGATTCCCCGTGCGCGATGAAGGGCCGAGATTATGAGTGTGGGACGCTGATAAATATCGTTCCTCTGTGAAGCTTTGCCCTGGTGACCACCAGCCGATTTTTTATTTTCTTCCTACGGCTTTTTTGAGACGAACAGAAGGCATGTGAACGTACGAACGTGCTGTTTCAGGCATTGCAAAACACACGCAGCAACTTTTAAAGCACATTTACTGCTCACAAGAAGAAAAAAAACACACACACAAACGTATGTTCCCGTCTTCAATCTTAACAAGGGTGGACAGCCCTATGAGAATAGGGAGCACAAAGCTTGCTTATAATTTACGATGTTAAATAAAATGAATCCTTTGAATGCATGGGGCAGCATATAATCCAGCGTGTGGGAAAACAGTTTGACACAGATTACAATCCATTTGGGTTTGAGAGTCATCTTTTGCACTTAAATAAGACTTGGCAATATCTCATGTGGAATTTCACTATACTATAATTGAAACAACACTAACATTATTTCATTGAAAATGTAACTATACTAAACACATTGCCGAATTAGTAAATACAAAACTGTTACCAAAATTACGAGACTAAAAACAATGCTAAATACAGTTTTTTTTATATTTAATTCTACCAAAAAAGGGAGGAGTAGCACAGTGATTAGTGCACTGTGCTATGAACCTGCCCGTCTGAGTTGGATTCCTGGCTCCGGCTAACATCAGTGGGGCGCCTCTCCTTCACCAACCTGCAAAGACTCGCGCAGTGTCAATCGTATTTTCCTACGATTGACACAATGTGGGTAGGCCCTCATCCAACAGTAGACTGACAACAGTACTGTAACTCTACAACATCTAATTGGGGGGGGGGGGGTTAAAGCTCGTTCCCACAGTTTAACAAATTTTTTAAAAACAAACAAAACAACAACGAATTTAAATGTAAAATAAACAACGTAAACGATGACTTCCAATCGAAACGAGCTGTTTTGAAAACAAACAAAATCTAAATAAGCCTGACAGTAATGTACAGAAAAAAACGGAGCAGTTTAGAATATTTGAGTTATAAATTAACGCGCATCAGACCAACAATGGCGCTAAAATGCTTTTACAATTATCTGCAAAAATAAACTGGACCACAGACGGGTGCCAGAATAAACAATACGTATAATTGTGCCCCGATAATTACAGAGAAAGACACGGACATCTACAGACAGCACAGTTTGTCCACATTGCTTTATTGTTAAGTAAACAGAACGTTTAATGACGTGGAAAAAGGCGCTCACACATGTATTATGAAAACCAGACAGGGGTGGTGGGGTCAAAGGTAGATGTTGAATGACGAGCATTGTTTGGATAATGAGACGGTGCCAAAAAAATATTAATCTGCCGGAAATATTTAACAGCAAAAATATTTTACGACATTAATCATGCATTAAAATGTTTCACAATAACATTTATTGTATCATCCATAGACCACAAATATTAATTGTAAAATGCATAACTACATTACAACGATATGAAACACAAACATTACTAAAAACAGAATTTGTTGCATGCTTTTATGTATTTATATAAAATACCTTTACCAGGATTTTTGTATGACGTACTTACGAGGTAGGGACTTTAAAAAAACGTGGATTTGAGTGTTCCATGATGACACAGTGCCGCTTGCTGGTTACTTTGCAGAAGTGCACAAAAGTTGGTGCTTCAGAGAGTCGGGACGGGGGGAATGATGCAGCACATCTTTGCAACTCAGCAGTGTCATAGCTACTCAGTGTGCAGGCGGTGCAACTGCACCAGGCCCCACAGACTGGAGGGACCCAAGGCCGCTGAGATTCAGGATAGGAATGGGACAAGGGGCCCCGTTTTAACCCCTTGCATCAGGGCCCATGCCAAACAAGCTACGTCACTCATTCAGTCACGATTTGATTCAATAATCTCATCTGTTTTGTTTTACATTGTTCGTGCAATGGTGGCCTCTCCCTGGTGGCTGCAGGTGTGGTGTGAATCCGCTCATCACAACACATACCGATCGAAAACGATTCGATCCGCACGTCGTTAGATTAACAATCAGATGCATCGATTATTCGATGTAATCGCTTGATTCCTATGCACGTTGTTTCACTGCGATATGCTCAGCAAGCAATGCAGACTGACAAGCCAAACTAGCTTGCTCAAAAAAAACTTCGCCTTACACTAGACCTTACTGCATTCCAAATTATACTTAAAATTAATGTCCGGGGTCTTGGGGATTCCCATAAAATATTCTATGAGCAACGAAGCCCTGATTTGAGTCATATAACCTGGACAGGTGAGGCAACATCTGATATGGAAACATTGCTTCGTATTAAAACTCAAACATAAATGAATGCGTGAACTAACATTAACCAATTCAACCCGTAGTAGGCTTTCGCGACCAATGTTTATGATTCATTGTTGAATTTTGGCTCAGATCGCCGCATTCGTGTAAAGTGTGTTGTCATAAACCCTCCTCCATCCGATACAGCCAGTTAATATAGTAACGTGATGAACAAACGTCCGTATATAGGGGCCATTCATGTTGTAGGTACGCAAAAATCTGTCCAAACTTGACCCCTCACCCCCTCCCTGTACGCACGCGGACTTTTTACACCCCACCTACGTATAGAACGGCCGATATTTAATCCACGCTGTAACGATCAAGGATTAATAATATTAATTAACGCGTTTAGGCAAACAGATAGTCCACCGCCGGCTGCATTAAATAATTAAGTTGCGTACCTTTAAAAAGTTTGTCTGGTGTCCGCTCGGTTCAAACGCCGACTGAACCCAGTGGAACAGGTGACGACGCATTATAGGGGTTTCGTCAACAGGCGCAGTGTCATGCTGAAGCACAGCAGCGTGATAGCTGCAGTCTGCTGGGCCACCGTCTCAAGATCCACAGCGTCGCTGGCGTCGTCATCATCATCATCGTACAGCTTTTGATTGTTATCACTGTCAGAAGACTCCTTAGCGTGAATGCGCTGGTGTCGTTTGACACTGGCCTGCGGCAGCTAAAACCTTGAGCCAGGGGCAGTCTGCAGTGAGGAGTCCAGATTGCAGGATGTGTGACCCATGGGGCAGGCCGCCAGACTATTGGGCTGCGTGATAGCTGCAGTCAGGGGCACGGTGGCACACAAGTGACACCTCTCCCACAGTCCCACTTCTCCCGGCAGTACTTGTTGTCCGACAGCTGAAGAAACTGAACTGTGGCTCATTTGAAGGCCAATGTAGACAAATTATTATCGAGGCTTCACCCTCTCCCCCCCCCCCACCGTTTCCTATGCGTACGTACATAGTCAGTAGACCCCCCCCCCCCCCCATACGCAAGCGTACGCATTTGGGTTACCCCCCCTCCATGCGTACGTACTAAATGGATGGCCCCCTTATTACTGCTTCAGTAACACCACCCGTGAGTGAGAGGGCAATTCACAATGTAGTGAATGTAGTGAATTGTAAAAAGTTGTGCAATCTTCTCAAGCACACTAGTTTGTTAAAGTGGTAAATTGGCACGTCTGTTGTTCACGTGGTAACTTTATTTATTGGCTGTGTTAAGTTGAGGAGGGTTCACAACACACAGTTTTCTTATGCCGTATGGCCCAATTATATTATCAATTGGAAAGCATTCTATTAACGAAGCTTAAATGAGCTGCTTTGCCTTTTAAACTGCAATATTAAACCTGTGCAGGTATATTCATTTTTAATACTCACATTGTCTATTACAGGTAGCACAGAAATAACCCCAATGTATGTGAAGACTTACCTTTTGGGGGAACCATTCTTGACTTACACCATGTATGATGAACAGCCTTTCCTGATTATAGCTAAACAATGCTCAGCAATACATAGTGAACTTGGCTTGCAAGCTTACACGTACCATGTTAGTTCAATATTTTAACTTCCTTGTATCATACCCTAACGAAAACAACGGTACCTTGAGTGTAAAGTATAATAAGGACCATAATGTTTTAATTCATGGTAAGGTAGGAAGGATGTTTTGGGGGAAAAATAAACTCTCTCGTGACTTTATACCAGATGAGTGTTAATCCAACCATAACGTTTTACTGGGAAATTCACTTATCCTATATTCCTAGTTTTGTTCTGCATATGTAATTTGTTTTATATGCCAAGCGAATTACGTTCCACAACCCGGTCGTATTGGAGTGGAGCGGTGGTGCAGCGGTGTGTGCATTGCACCGCTAACCCAGTGACCTGAGTTTGATTTCCAGCCGTGGCTAACGTCACAGGCGAGTGAAATGTCAACCAGTCCCCACATCACGAACCCTCACTGGCCGGCAAAGGTGAAGTATCGTCAAACAGTCCCGATGACTGACATGGCACAGAAAAGTCATCCAGATGTGTATTGACGAAGGCCAAAATTGTATTATTAATTTAACCAAGCATTAACATTACACCCATAAAATATGCAAACATAATCCCACAGTGGAGTCAGTAGTTACCACTACACCCCACATTCTTTGCAATGGCTTAACATTTGCAATAACACATGTTATAATGTGTTATTTATCATAAACACCACTGTTTCGTACAGACTTAACAAGGGTTTGTACAGACTATTATACAAATAAAAACAGTGCAACTTGTCCATCAGCATACCATATAACATATCCTCAGGACTGACCATGCTTGATCTTGGCTATAGATCTAATTTATCTATTAAAGGGACGCCACGATATCGAGATGTAATCTTCCTCGCCTGGTATGCAGGAGGTCGGGGGTTCAATCCCGACCCTGACGCCTGCTGTGTAATTGGAGTTTGCGTGTCTCTCTCCCCGTGGTCGCGGGGAATTTTTCTCCGGATCCTGTCAGTTTTTCCCTCCACATTTACAAGCGTGCATTGCGATTATTTTGGTGCTGTAAATGTCCAAATGATGGGGCCACTTTGTTGAGTTATCATTTGTGGCCAGGTCGCTTCTGAAAAATAAGTGAATACCTCAGTGGGCTTTGCCTGGTAGGATGGGGATGGTTTAGTATTGTATTTGTATGTTTGGGTTGATTTGTATATTATTCGTGTACGTTGCACTACTATCATGTTTTGTACTGTTTGTTGTTGTAACGTTCTTAACCGCCCCTACTGGACAACTGTGAAAGAGCTTTATCGGTCATCGGATTCCTCTAGTCTAAATAAATATTTGGATTCTGATATTCTGTGTGTTATTTGTACATAATTAAAATACAGCAAACTTTGCATGTATGGAACTCACCAACAATATACAGCTTACACACCACTCTACATTATTCTCTAAATGGTTTAATGGAATTATAAAGTCCCACCTGATGCATATATCTAGTAACTCGATTGACCGTGAAAATCAACCTTTTGATTGTGTAAAAAATTCTGCTGTTAAAGAGTTTTCACGCTGCAAGGTCTACCGCATGACATTACAACGTTCAACAAAGCAAACATTCCGATGCCTCGTACTGCAATGGACGAACCAATGTCAATTGACAAATACAAAGTGCACACCTTTATGTAAACTTGCAACGCACCTATGACTCAAGACTTCAGTTGCAGTTGCACAGACTGAAACTCCACCTCTTCTGGATCCTGTAAAGAGGCAAAAAGTTTGTGCATGTTAGGCCCATGATTCTGGAACGTAAATGTGTTTTTGAGCCGTAAAACTGAGAAAATCACAACGGCGAGCCCCAGCTGATGCTCAGCTCCATACAAGAGGTTGTGGTGGTGAATTTGTGGTGGTCAGTGATAGTGAATTTCACATTGTGATTCAAAGTACAATTTCAACCACAATTTATGAATCACCAACCACATGAAATTATACCCTAAATCAATAAATATATAATTAATGCCCTTTATCCAGAAAAGCGTCAATGAGTCACAAAGCTTTTAACAAAGGGGCTGCATTGAGTCTTTGGCCAATTGGATTTACGAGTATATAAACTAACAACATAAGTAGCTATTTAAATGGGACTACACAAGCAATTATTTTGTGTAAAACATTTCCGCTTAAAGAATGAAAACACAAGTATTTTGGACTTGCCACGCAAAGCGCACACTTCTAAGCTACGGTGAAAGTATTTCGCTTTCGCAATGCTTACGAACATATCAATGCTAAGTTTGTGAATTTTCTGGTGGTAAAAGGCACCTTCTTCTTGTTCATTAATTTCCCAAAGAAGGATTTGTTTTTCTTGTTCGCGAAGATGACGTCCTCCTCCTCGCCCTCCATGATGGCGCAGCTGTCCACGGCAGGCAGCTCCCCCCCGTCCTTGGCACTGCCATTCATCAGCAGACTCGAGTACTTGTACTCCAGCCTGCGCAGGACGGACAACACGGACGTGCCGTGCACGGTCTTGCGTTCATCACGTCCACTCGGGTGAAATTCTGTGAGAATAGTGAATCAACCGTTTTCCGTTCCGATGATGCATGCGCACGTCATCAGTTTTTCTTCCGATTCCATTCCGAGGACGTGCGTGTACATCGTCAAAACTAATCTGGAAGGAAAATTTAAATAAATAACTCTATCGGTACAGAGGCTCCCACAAGGCCATGCAGGAGGGCATGTTGCACATGCTATCATAGAGTGTGGTCGTGTCGCTGCAGTTCTCTGCAATGAGTAGAATGTCTTTTAAAAAAAAACGGCGCTACGCCTCTCTAAATAAAATTAACACCGAGCAGCTTGGGCGTAACGAGAATCAGAGGTGAACGAGACCCACCCTACAACTTGCAGACGTCTCGGAATGGAAAGGGGTTAAAATCCTATGACCACATCACCTGGAATGCAGCCAAACTCACCAGATATTAATTATAATAATCATGAATTTGGACTTACAATGCAAGCAACAGTGTTTGCTCACTAAGTTTCTCAGTAGGCGGCGATGTTTTTGCGTGTTATCCCAAATGAGTCATTTGCTGGTAATATTTTTGCATTGGACTTCATGGCCAACACCAAATACAAAGTATGTTGAATATATCTGTGGCAGGAAACCCATGCAGGGCAGGGGGAGAACGTACATAGAAAGGTGCCCAATTCGGCAATTGAAACAAGGCTCATCTTTGCTGCTAGGCACAATTGGTACCACTACGTCAACCTCCTGCCTGATATACACTTCAAATAGCCTAATCCAATAATCTTTTTCCAAGAATGTGATTACCATGAATGTATAACAAAAAATGTGGTCAATCAATATAACCATAATTTAAACATCAAAGCGATACAATCACAAGTAGAAATCCATACTGTAAAAATTTGAATGGCTCATATCTCCAAACAGGCTACTACAAAAGAAAAACTGAAGATATAGCCGTCTTTTCTCAAGTGGCTAGCGGGGGTCACATTGAGATGAGTGAAATGTGGTGAAGGGGGGTCAGGGGTCACAGTCATGGTGGAAGCAGAGGGAGGGTAATTGTGTTTAGTCTATTGTCCTTCCCCCCGCACCTCCAATTAGCACGGCTGGCTACGTACAGTGGGAAAGAAGTTAAGCATACATACACATCAAGTGACACTGGTCTGCAGACCACATCAGTCATGAAGGGTGTGATGGAATCGAGGGAGCCGCGGTCATACTACACGTGCGTTAAATGTACGTGGCAGACACAGGGACGTGGCAGACACAGGGACGTGCGAGCGGCCTACGAGACAACGATTGATGCAACGATAATCGATTTGAATCAGTTGAAAGATGCCAGCTTTCAGATAGTGCTGCGGGTGTGCATGTAAACGTAATCTGAACTGCCCAGAGTCCTAGTTGGTATTCATTTACTACTGCGTGCTTACAATAAATGCTAAGGTGGTCTTCGCATCCGTATTGATATGGGAGGCATCATAGCAGATCATATTATCCACACCTATTCACGACAATAACTCTAGACATCCATGCGGCTATCCATGGAAAACATAAAGAATGGGATCACTTTGCCACCACTTCCGAGTCACTCTTCTTATCAGAAAAAAATGCAGATAAAATAGCATGAATTTAGCACTACTGGAATCAGCTTAGCCACCAATAAACACAGTTGATAGGATAACTTTGGCACCACTTCTGGATCAGTCCTCTATCTGTGAAAAAAAACATGTGGATATAGGATGAATTCATTATTCAGAGATAACAGAACCTTTCGTAAGTCTATCACGGCAATGAAGAATAAACATTGTGAACATCAAGATCACAAATTAATGCAAGAAGTTTCACTGTAATGTCCTAACGAATGTTTATCAGCATTAACCTAAACTAAACTATTTTCTTACCAGGTAAGACCCGCTGAGCTATATAGCTCTTCGGAAGAGACCTGGCCACAAATGATAGCTCAATTAAGTGTTTGATTGCGTGGATATTTATAACAGCCAAATCCTCTACATCAGTGTTTTTCACAAATTTTCAGAGGGGGGCCACTTTTGCCGATAAGACACCATCAGTGTGAGGGCCGCCACACATTTTAAACCATTGGGTTTGACAGCAGCACGATGGGCGTTTTCACATGTTGCGTATTGTCAGGCGCCGCACGTCACGGGCCGCACTAAAGGTTACCAGGGTCTGCCAGTGGCCCAATGAAGAACACCGCTCTAACTGCATGACAAAACCGCCACCTCCCTAGGGGGCACCAGCTCCCAGGGGTAAGACCGTCGGCCGTACCACCACAAGAGGTGCGGACGCCGGTCGTACGTGGGCCGCGACGGCGTCTCCCCCCCGAATCGGAGCACTCACTTCTTGTTCTTCTTCCAGAAGAGGCAGGTGAGAAATACGAGGGCAACAGCCACGAGGATGGAGCCCCCGATGCCCACCTTGAGCCACAGGCTCAGGTCCATACACACATTTCTCTTCTCGGGCGGAAGTGACACTCCGCCCGTGCAGCGGCCTGGCGCCTTCCACTCGTAGTGCGTTCTCTGCAAAGATGAGGGTGAGGGTGCGAGATTGAGGTTTCCGGAGTCACGAATTGAAGTCATACGGATCGAGGATAGCGCCTCGGATTAGCACGGTTGGCTACGTACGGTGTACAAATTCAACACACGCGTGTGCATAGACACGCAACGTTATGACCGCGTGTCTAAGTGTGTTAGATTTGCCGCGAGCTTTTCTGATGACTTCACTATATTGGAAGTTATTAAAATGTTTGATGTTCAGTATGTGCTGACTGCATTCGAACTACAGATGGGGGTAAAAATTACAGCCTTTCGAACCAGTGAATTATTGTTTTATATAAATCGGATTTGAAATTCATAATTAAAAAAACACTCCTCTTAAAAGTCTAGAGACCTCTGCCATGGTTTTTAACACTGTAGTGTGAACTTGGTGATGAATACCTCAAATCATACATTTGCAACTTAGCCTATCAATCTAAAGTCATGTTCTGCAATTGTTATACAAAATAAAATATATTTTTCAGCAAGTAATAAAATACGATCATAACAAAGCACAAGCGTTCTTGCATATCTGCTTCATTTTAGATAGTTCCCCTTTACGGCTTATTTTGCACTCTAAAAACTAAATGAGCCTGGTTGTTGACACTGCAAGCATCCCAGGCACACTTCAATAGAGTATATGGAGACGGAGGGTTTGAGACGGCCCTCCCAGAGCCCAGGGGTATTGTTTTAAGCAGTGCTAATGTCGCTTTACCTCTATGCCGCCCTGGCAAGACTCGGTGACCTGCTTGTAGTCAACCTCTCTGCAGAGCGGGCAAACTTTTGGAGTGGTCCACAAGAAGTGGAATGTACATCCGTCACAGGTTCCTTCAGGGCATTTGCTGAAATGCACAACAATGCAAAATAAGAACCAAATATTGATGCAAAAACTGCCTTGCCCCCCCTCCTCCCGCCAGGAATATAATGCGTAATTGCACTTTGTTTCAATTTAAAGCTTTCGTGACTGCAAGGATTCATCTTCTTTGGTTCTTTCGGTAAAGTCACGTAGAATGAGAATAAAATAATAAATTGATAAAATAAAATAACACAATAATATTTTAATATTTTAATATTTTATTGTGTTATTTTATTTTATCCATGTATTATTTTATTCTCATTCTACGTGACTTTACCGAAAGAACCAAAGAAGATGCACTTTGTTTGTTGGGCATGGAATGATCCATCGATCCACTGATTACGTTTATTCATGTGCTCACAATACTTACATGGAATCGTGCATGTGAGAATCAGTTATTTACGGTTCATGCAAATGAGATGCAAGTGAAATGGTAATCGAAAATACAGCCTAATGGATTGGGCAAACCTGTCTTGAGCAAGGAAGAAAAAGAAACACACAAAAATGTATTAATGTTTGAATTTACTAGCTACGTCAAATATGTCACAATACATAACATTGGGGGGGGGGGTTAATTTATAACGTGCCCATGTTGTGTTTCTACCTTGGCACAACGATGTCATCAATCTGTGTGCTTTCCGGGCTGCATCGTAGCCGGAAGGTGGTGACGCGTCCATCCGGACAGGAGTTTGTGGTGTCCGACGACCTGCAGGAAAACAGCTCTAGGTCATCACACCCCTTGTGACCCCCACCCAAATCTGTCTCGTAGGGCCGCACTTCTAATTAGGGCTTAAAGAGAAACACGCAGACCCTCGGCTTTGCAAAATTTCCCTTGCAAACTACATCACGCCCTTGAAGCGTCGCAGCCTCCATGCCGGCAGACCGCCTCTGTTGTTTTTTTTGTTTCTCGCTTGTCAGCCTGGTGACCCGGGTCACTCTCGCAAATTCAACTATCCTGGTCTCGAGATGGACTATCCACCTGGTTAAACAAAACAACTTTTTTTTTTCAAACATTAACGCCATCGAACCCAATGCACCCATCAGTATAGCCATGAGACACAGCAGAGGGAACAGAATCCAAGTGTCTGTCACCTGTAGTAATGTATGATGTCGGGGATGGAGGGGTAGTCACTTGGGGGAAACAACTCCAGAGGCACATTTATTCCGTCAAGTGTATTCTGTGTTCTTGCCCCTGCAGGACAATAAAAAGATGGATACAAGACTTGGATTACACCGTCAGGTTTCAAAACAACTATCAGCAGCCACCGTATCTTATCTTACACAGATTGACATCGTGACCTATTCCAAAGGCTCTTTCCAGCAATTGTACATGAGATGATTGTGGTTGAGATAAAGGGCGGGGTTATTAAAAGTGGTGGTGTTGTTATGGTGAACAGGTGGGAGAGGTTAAGTAGGAGGGGTGGGGTAGTGATAGTGGTAGTGATATTGGTAGTGATACGGATAGTGATAGTTGGGGTAGTGATAGTGATATTGGTAGTGATAGTGATACGGATAGTGATAGGAGTTGGGGTAGTGGTAGTGATCGGGGTAGTGATAGGGGTTGGGGTAGTGATAGGGGTAGTGATAGTGGTATTGTGACGTGGGCAGGTGCTCCAAATCGAGGACAAACACATTTATTGTGGTAATCTTTAAAATGCATGTATGTCACACAGCCGTTTTCAATCGAGTCGCTATTAACCACGAGACTGGTGTCCAAGCCAGGTTACTCAATAACAGTTTCCCTTAAACCCAATTCCACTACTGATAAACCATCTTTGTCTTTAATCATAACCTTTACACTTAACTATTCGATTATTACTTTAATCCTAAGCTCTATGTCTATCGATAACATTCACTATATTGATGTTACACCCATTATATGTACTGTATACGTAGTGTACTTGTCACCTTTGTACAACTTACTACTGTACATGTGTTTTATTCTTAATAGCACTAGCTTTTTTGTTCGTCCAAGGACGGGTGTATATTGCAGTAAATCTGAAATATTCAATATCAAAATTGCTCAGCTCATGATTATTGAGGAGGGGGGGGGTTGCCCCATGTGGAGTGACGTCACCCGTTAATGGTTATTGTGGAGGGGTGCGGAATGTGGCGTGACGTCACCCGCTCATGATTATTAATGAGGGGTGCGGCATGTGGCGTGACGTCACCCGCTCATGATTATTAACGAGGGGTGCGGCATGTGGAGTGCACGGCTTTCTTGTGCGTTCGTGTAAATTTCCACGCATGCAGTGACGTCACGCACGGATGTAGCACTGTGCTGCTTAGATTTATTTTTACCGTCACTTTCTGTAAAGAAACGTCATATTTGAAGCGACTTTGAGTAATACATTATTTAATTCAGCTCGACCTTGCTCTGCGTGTGAATATTGAGGGTGGGCCTCATGTGGAGTGACGTCACGTGCGGGCCACACATTCTTGGCTCATTATAGTAGTATAATATATATTGCAAGTAGTCATACTCTGGGTGCATGGGCATGGTTATAAAATAAACAGTATTAAGGTTAGAGAATTATCAGTATCAACTACAGTACATCATCCTTTGCAGTGTACAGTGCTAAACTCCCACCTATTGAACATATCACAAACTACCAATTCAAAGCCAAGCTTAAAGACTAGAACATTTCTATAACTATCAAAATGCAACAGCACGTGGGTCACACACAGCAGTTTCCAACCGAGTCGCCATTAACCACGTGACTGGTGTACACGTTAGGTTACTCAATAACACTGCCAGCCACCTACAGGCCCGACTCAGTATCGCATGCTGGTGTAAACGTGCATTGATTGTGGGGAGCGGTAGTGTAGCGGTTAGCGCGCTGCGCTATGAACCTGGCGACCCGGGTTCGATTCCCGCTCACGGCCAACACAAGTGACGATTATCTGAACCGGTCCCGGGCCTCCCCTAGGTCGACTCAGCCTCAAATGAGTACCTGGTGCGGTGTGTAAATATCGCCACTAGGGAGACAAAGGCGGTCGGGCGCGGTGCTGGCCATCCACCCCCTCGTGTACCGTTCCGGCCTTCATAGGTGCTCGCTAACAGCACTTGCCCCTACAGTCTGTTAAGGCTATACGGGGGATCTTTGTCTTTGATGTACTGCACAGCACATAAGGACCTTCACAAAACCACACTTTGCTCCATTGCTGCACGAGGAAATAATTAAAAGAGTGGTCCATTCCTAATGTGCCACCAACCAGACCTACCACAACCCCGTGATCGGGGTTGTGGTAGGTCTGGTTGGAGCTGAGGGGTGGGGGCAGGGAGCAGTCATTGCCATATCTCACTGTGCCAATAATCCATCAAGCTATCTGCACACAAGCTGATATCATTACTCCATCTCCATGATGGATATACTTACAATTGTGTTCAAAACAGTGGTATTCGTATTATCATAATTACTGTCATAAAATACGTAGTCCCAGTAGCAAGTATTGTTATTTTTCATCCGGAAGCTTTACTTGGCCATACAATTATTGAAAACCAAGTGATCTGCCTGGGTTACGTTGGGAAAAATCGCATCCTCATAGTTGCGAGTTCATATCTTGACCAATGGTTAACTGATCCTATTAACCCTCTGCGGCTAATAAAATAGGAACTATTTTGTGGGGAAATCTCCTAAGGACAGAATTGGTCCCACAGTAAGAATGCAGAATTTCTACCACCGGCTCAGAACTAAAGGAGATGAACACCACTCTAAAGCTCAGTTTAGCAGAAAACCATACAATGATGTAGAGGTTTAAATTGCAGGGTGACTTTTATTGTGTTTTAAATACAATATTCAGAAGATATCACTAAAAAACCTTAACCAGTGTTTTAGTCCTCAAAACAGGTGTCAAAGAACAAAAACATTACCAATTGCCATTTCATTGTAATAAAAGTCCCACACACGTGTGTGACCATATCACACTGAATGTGCCTGATCTCATTAAATGCATGACACAGGCAGAATAGGCTGCTGTGAGGCTACAGGGTAGGTAGTGGCAGACAGTGCAACAAAATATATGTACTTCTATGCTTCCACATATATGCTCCCCGCTTTCACCAACCTTCACTGACCACCAAGGTAAAGTATGGTCGAATAACTCCCACGACCTGTAGGAAATGGCCCGGCCCTCGTCCAACAGTGGATCAACAAAAGGGCCATTACATGCGCAACTAGCATACCCGTTTCACTTTTAAACAACTGTGAAATAGTGGTGAAGATGGATGTGTTTAGCGTACCTATGCTGAGCGTGTGCGCACGCGTACCTAAGAAGCGGTCGGCCAGGTTGAGTATCTGCGAGGAAACCGTAGCCCCGATGCCGCGTGCCTCCGACGTGATGATGGTCGACCGGCACACGAACGCCTCCATCTGCGTCCTCTGACTCTGGTCCTTCTGCGATAGCTGGGCGCTCGTCACGTTGTCCACGCACTGCGCCTTCATCGCGCCCTTGGCAGGCACGGCACACCGAACGCTCAGCGAGTGGCCCCCAAAAACCTCAAGGCGTTCGTCGAAGCCTCCACCGTTACAACAGAGCCGCACCGGAGCGGCTGTGCCATGCCAGCCCCCTGGGGCGGCTCAGGCGGCGCCACGTTGTTTTTTTTCCACTGCAGCAGCCGGGCGGAGTTGGTGCTATCACGCGCGACCGAACGAGTCGAGCTGCATAAAGATGACGCAGCGGAGCTTACGTTTGAATTGCACCGACTGATGTCACGCGCGATGACTGCATCGTTAACCGCGTCGCTGGCCCTGCTTTGGCCCCAGGCCGTATTCAGATATTTTGTGAGGCCAGTGTATCACGTTTTGTTTCCTCCGGCTTGGCTAAGAGTCACTGGAAAAGAAGCACTGGTAACGCGAGGGCCCCGCATTTTGCCGAGCCAGTGGGGCACCAGTCTCGTGCAGCCAAGAGCTCACTCATATGAGCGTCTAGCTTAGTGAGAAAGCTTGTTTCTCACCACTTGATACAACACTGCGCTACACGAGTTAAGTAAGATGCAACCCAAAAATAAACATTTATTGTCAATATGCAACAAGGTTCAGTGTCCTAGGCTGTCCAAAACATGTGCGAAGTGAAATTTTAAATTAAACCCCCTCTCCTCGGCCTCTGTCCACCCAGCAATACAATGAGTACACCACAGTTAGTCCATCGGTAAATTGCGTGTGGTGCAGTAAAGTGTGGGTTTCTGCCACCTCTCTCAAGATGTGAAAGAGTAGGCCAAAATACCCTCGAGAGGAGCTCTCGAGCTTCCTCTAATGGAGGCCCTACCACCAGCAGTGGCACGATCACGAAATTGCAGGGCCACACCTCCTACTCTATCATCGCACTCCTCTTACATCACTGCCCTGACGTTGCATCCAATGGGAGTAGGGCCACTAACATGCCAAGTGGGGTGCTTGCTCATAACCTAACCATCCATTTTCCCGTTAGCTAATCATCGAGCTCACGTCAAACAACATTGGTTTGTGCATACAAGATGGCAGCTGTTTGGTTTTTGGTTTCCTCTTCCTTTAAAACGGCTCGGCGATGTGTTTCCGGGTCGTACGTCATGTTGTTCGAAATGATGTCCAACGTTTCGGTCCACGTCCTGAAAGTGAATTCTGGAGCTGACTTCAGTTGCAGAAGAAGCTCCAAGCATGTCAGGCATCGTGCGAAACGACACGTTGTACAAATAGAACACGCATCAGATCGCTGTACAGCACAACTGAAAAATACATTATTCAGTAGTATCCTTTAAAAAAATCATATGGGAATTCAGTGTCTATGAGAGGCACTGTGGTGGTGTTTACCTCATTGCCGCAGAGGCTGATGTTGTAGACCAGGTTGTACATCGTCCCTTTGGCCGTGAAGCTGGGCCCAGTCACCTTGCTCGTGGTACCATTCAGACCGCTGTAGTTGAACTCGAGCACACCGCTCTCAGTTTCGTATGTGAACGTGCAGTCACTGTAGCATGCTGAGTGGCTCTGATAATAATACAAAAAAAGGATAGACAATTCAATTGCTACCTTGTGACAGTCCGGGCATCAGGATTTGTGCTGCGAGGGACTAATCAGGGCCTGAAGTTAAATCTTTTCATGGGATGAGATTTGAAAGTTTTGTTAATTTGTACCTACTGTTCGTACTTTAAAATAAAAGCGTAGTATGACTAAGCATATTTAAAATAGATTGACTTGGTTTTTTTATGACGTTCCAATTGTGCTATCGGTGTCGTATCGTGAGATAAGTAAGTTTCCAGTCAAAACTCTCGCAGCTGGAATTACATGACCATGTCGGGGAACAGCCTAAAAGATGGCATCACAGAACCAAATTTCGATTTAAAGCTTTCGTGACTGCAAGGATTCATCTTCTTTGGTTCTTACGGTAAAGTCACGTAGAATGAGAATAAAATAATAAATTAATAAAATAACACAATAAAATTATCACGACGTTTCGGCCACAATACATGTGGCCACACCAGTGGTGAGTGATGTCTTAACCAGTCCTGTGCTCCCCCACAGTAACCAACATGCACCGATCAGCATTGTTCAATACAGTCAAACGCATATGACCTACAAGACGTAGTGAGGCCTTTGTGCAGCAGTGGATTTACAAAAGGCTGACGATGTATGTATGTATGTTGAACTTATTTTAGATCTTACGCAGTTAACTGCGCTAATGGGAGGTACAGGGGAACGACAGCAAACTAAACACAAAAAAGCAGTTTTGGGGAAATTTGTTTTCAATCTAGATTTTAAAAAGCACGTAGCTGCAGTGGCTTCCTAATATAGGGAGGAAGAGCATTCCAGACAGCCGCAGAAGCGCATCTGCAGCGCGCGATCCAGTGACCGTCTTTATTTCTACATTTATATGCAACATATAAAACCCGTGCCTCAAACACAGCCCTGGAGCATCTTCTCCCCATCAACGGCGGACAGGATGGCTGCACTGCCCCCATTACGTTCACACGCGCGTGACTGCTGTATGGATCATGGAGCCGTCCTCATTCCGCCGGCCCAGCAGGCGCAGCGGGGAGAGAAGACGCCGACGGGCTGACCCCGCGGGCGCTCGCGACCCCCCACGTGACCCCCCACGCGACCGTGTCGCCCGGCCCAGTGGTCTATCTCTCTCTCGCGGTCATATCGCCACGGTCATCGTGCACACTAACGTTGCCAGCAGCACGCGTTTCCAACCGATTACTTACATCATTGCAATTTGTTGATTTCAGCCCAGTGATGTTATCGCCGACTCGTGCGTCAGAGATGATTTTTTGCTAACGCGTGGAGCATGGCATTAGTTTAGTGTCTAGTTTGTTGTCCTTCCCCCCCCCCCCCCCCGCACTTGCGATTAGCTTGGTTGACTACGTATGGTGCGAAAGAAGTTCAACACACACAGATACATGGCATTGGGCTTGATCAAATGTCTGTCATGCAACGCTATAGTTTTCAATATAACACGTAGGCTTTCGCGACCAATATTATTCATAATAAAGGTTTTTGGGTTAGATCGCGTTATTTATAAATGTGTCGAAACCCTCCACCACCCGACACGGCCAATCAGCAAAATAAAGTGTCACGTTGACAAAAGACAAATAGTTCACTACTTTAGCCCACCGGTGTGTTGAAGAGTGAATCCACAACATTTACAGTTTGAGTACGACGTTTCGCTGGTAATTACATCCAGCATCATCGGGCAATTCGCCAGAATGGTAAAGCCCTCGCTTGCTCTCGGTCTTAAATAGAGCAGCAGGGTGACGTCATCATTTAACTCATTTCAGGTGCAGTGATTAGAGGCGGAGGGGGGGGGTATTGTAATTATATAATCGATTGGCAATCAGTCAATGGTTATGATTAGTAATGAGTTGTAGATTGGTAATTAGTTGTAAGTGGTGTTATTGTGATTATATGCTACAAAAGATCTGGTTGTCGCCTGATGAAGCTCGTTGTGATTACTGGCGAAACGTCGATTGTAAATGTCGTGGCTTGGCTCTCCAACCCACCGGTGTGCTGTACTAGTAACGAATTGGCCACGTTCTGTTTAGGTGACAAACCTTACTAATTGGCTGTGTCGGGTGGTGGCGGGTTTACCGACACATTTATACATTCACGCGATATAACCCAAAAAAAACGGTATTATGGATGATATTGGTGACGAAAGCCTACGCGTTAAACCGTCCTTTGAATGGATGAACCGTCCCCCACTCATGGCACCACTTGCGTAGCCGCGGCCGCCTGCCACGCCGTTGCTGCAAGCGTGTGGCGTCACTGGCGGCGGTGGCCCACCCACCGGGTTGCTCCTGGCCGCGGGGCCGCAGGGCTCGCAGGAGTCGCGGCCAAGCGCGTGGCGATCGGCCACCACGGTGTTGTCGGGGCACTCGACGCAGGCGCGCGAGGAGTCCTCGGTGATGTAGAAGCCGGCGGGGCACGGCACGCAGTCGGCGTCGCCGGAGCCGCCGCCCTGCGCGCACGGCCGGCAGTGCGACGAGACGCTGTTCAGCGCATTGGTCACGTTGATGGCGTAGATCTTGGCGACGTCGGTGACGAACTCGCGGCCCTGGACACGAGTAAAAAGGATACGGCGTAACTCTAAGCAGCACATTCTTGGTTCTTTCGGTAGAGTCGCGTAGAAGGGAAACAATACAATAATTCATATTCTTAGCTCTTTCGGTAGAGTCACGTAGAAGGGAAACAATAAAATAATAAAATACATGTAAAACAATAAAAATTCTCACGACGTTTCGACCATAACACAAACGGTCATCATCAGGTGTGAAAAAACCAACGGCAAGAAACATTTGAAAGAAGTGGCGGTTCGCATTTATTTATTTTTAAACGGTTTATTTATTTAAAAAAAAATTGGTAAGGTTTAAAATATATATAAACATTATTATTTCATTGTTTCCCTTCTACGTGACTTTACCGAAAGAACCAAGAATATGAATCCCTGCAGTCACGAAAGCTTTAAATCAAAATTTAAGCAAAACGTCAATATTACCGGCACACGATATTACCGGTCTAGAATATTACCAGCACAGAATGTTACTGGCACACGATATTACCGGTATAGAATATTACCAGCACATAATGTTACTGACACATGATATTACCGGCACACAATATTACCGGCACAGAATATTACAAGCACATAATGTTACTGACACACAATATTACCGGGATAGAATGTTACTGGCACACAATATTACCGGGATAGAATATTACCGGCACGGGATGTAACTGGCACACAATATTACCGGCACAGGATATTACTGGCACAGAACGTTAATGGCGCACGATATTACTGGCACAGGATATTAATGGCACACGATATTACCAGTACAGAATATTACCCGCACGAAATGTTACTGGCACACAATATTACCGGCACAGAATGTTAGTGGCACACAATATTACCGGGATAGAATATTACCGGCATGGGATGTTACTGGCACACGATATTACCGGCACAGAAAATTACCGGCACAGAATGTTACTGGGACACGATATTACTGGCACAGGATATTACTGGCACAGAATGTTAATGGTGCACGATATTACCGGTACAGAATATTACCCGCACGAAATGTTACTGGCACACAATATTACCGGCAAAAGAAAATTACTGGCACACAACATTAGTGGCACACAATATTACCAGTACATTCAGGACAACACAGAAATCCACCCAATATCCACAGAGAAAATTACTTCCCCTTTCTAAAATGCAATTTTTATTTGAGAGGGCATGACCTGAACTGGAGAGTGGGAACAATGTTTAATGGAGTGATCAGTTGGTTGTGATTTCTCATGAGCAATGGTTATTGACAGATAGCTGAATTACAATATTTTTTAATCATCACACAGCTATTGTTATAGTGCAAGATGTTGGTACATCAATTACACTTTTAAGACTGATGAGCCTCTGTTGTATACTGTGGCTCTCATGTGACACTTGTTTGTTGTGGTGAGATGTCGTCAAAAATATAACTATTATAATGGAATAAAATTAGGTAATTAGATCATCATGAAGCCAATATTGCCTTTCAGAAATATTACTACTATTAATACGTGGACACACGATTGAAGGAAAAGTCACGAAAGAATATGTTTAGCGCCTTAAATAATCTTGCATGCTTAATCTAGAAAAAGTAAAAACATTTGATGGACCCTTGATATATAATACCAAAATAATTACTTGCACAAGTTTCCAGCACTCTCAATGCTCATTGTACAGTTATTTTGGTGCCAAAATTAACTTTCTTTTCTTTGACGATGGAACACAAAAGCTTGGCGCGTTCAAATCTCCCTCCGGACCTTCTCTTGCTGTTCATGCATCTGTGCCCAAAAAGGGGGTTTCAGCTCAAGCAGCTGACGAAAAGCAAGACAAACGTCGTCGGCGGAAAGGCAACAGCGTGGCCGAGTACGCTGCAGCCACGATCTCATAGGGAATCCATCGCACGTGATTGACACTCCCACAAACAATTAGTGGGGCGGGGGGGGGTGAACACGAGGCTCACCGCCTTGGGGTTTGAACTTCTCTGGAAGGCCCACGTGAAGGTGGTGGTGAAATTTTCCGGCACTATGTACGTGTACACCTGCTTGTCCTGCTTGCCCTGCCATGAGTTCTTCACCCTGGTGGCCTTCCTGTTGGTGTCCTGCAATGGTCCCGAACACGCACACACACACACCAGCTAAGGGAACGGCTGTTCAGCGATCACACGTTTTATTTAAGGAGGCAAATTAACTGGCTGAGAAGCAAAATGACTCTCCCAAATATTATATTTTGAAGCCGTAGATTTTTTTGTCAGACATTGAATTGTGAGTTATCCAAAAGATGATTTTATAACAATGGAGTGAATCTGTCTGTGCTCGATGTTATCCCCTCATTATGGAATCCTCGCAAGTGCCAAATATTTTTGTTATGGATTTGACCAAATAACCCAATGCATGCGACTCAGTGAACCTTTCTTGAGACAAATAAAGAGTACAATTAGTATTTGTACGAGAGAGCAAACCAATTTGTAATTGTTAATATCCCATCGAAATTTTCCATTGTAACTGTTAATGTTGTTTGCTTGTAGCACACTTACCACCATGAAGAAGAGCTCACATTGAGAAACACAGTCCAACTCGAAGGTAAAAGTGACCCTTGCAACCTCAATGGACTTGCTGTCATTCTTGATCTGGTAGCTGAGGAGGAAAACGATTAAGGCCGGATAGACCAGAAGTCAGACCACACAGAGATTATACACATTGCAATTAGAATAACATATATGCTAAACGATCTTGCTTTGGTAGTGTGATCAAAAGTGAGCCATTTCATGCTGGCATTGCAGCTCAATGTTTAATTATGCAGAATAACAAATGGTCAAAGTATATGGGTTAACGATCATTTACAAACATCTCACACGCAAACATGTCTCAAAATACCCTACAAAGTAATCACACACAGCATGGAAAGAAAACTATAAGAAAGAATAAGAAAACAAAACAATAGCTGGCCAGATTGAGCAGCGGTGTTACTCTGAACAGACTTCCCCATCTCCCACAGTGCCACGTTCATGGTGATTGTACACTGCATTATGAAATGATCGAGTGAAGCAGAAACAGCTCTGTTTGTTTTGCAAAATGGAGGGACATGAACCGGGGGAAAGGGGTAAAGATGTGGACATAGAAGGGAAGGTGCAGGGGAAACATTGCTGAGAAAACTATCAGTAGGGAAAGTCGGTCAATGGCAGAAGACAGAGGTTGATCTCAAGTCTGGACTTACATATGGGGAGGGAATCAATGGCGTGGATGACAAGAAGAAGAAAAATTCCAGAAAGTAGTGAAAGCAAAGGAGAAGTAGGGACCTCCCACAGTTTAAAAGTTTATCCTGGCTTTCACCTGGCTTCAGCTACTAGGCCACGAGAGTGAAATCCACAAACAAGGGAATAGAGGGATATGAGAGGAGAGAGGTATGCCAGAGCAAAACCATTAGGGACATTAGAAATTGTGAAGGCATTCTTAATACTCGTTCTTGACAGAAGGGATTTGAGAACTGTTGTGACAATAATTGTCAGCTAGCCAATATATATGTAGTGCCTCGAATAAGCCAGGGAGTGCCCCCCATTGGCCAAACCGCTGCAGCATAACGTTGTTGGAAATGACGAAACAAAAAGAGATGAATACAAATTATTATGGATGACAAGTTTCTTCGTGGAGAGCCGTGCTGTGATGGGTGGACTACCTGTATCCAGGCACAGAGAGAGAGAGGATGAGGTAGTCATTGTCCGAGGCTCCCGTGCCAGTGACGATGTGGTCCTGTGCCATCAGCCAGCCTGTGACAAGACGGACATTTTTACTGCCACCTTCACTCACGTTACATCGACTGGCCAACATCGGCATCTTTAACCACGCAGCAGCAAAGCAGAACAGATTCTCTCCTGTTTTTTGTTTAGCTGTTGAAGACCTTCCATTTTATCCTCAGCCTATGACTCACGGTCTCTACACACCTTAACTATGCCCACTGTTCCTGTGTAGCGTCTTAAAATGTGGTCACATTTAGACGCTATCTAAATTCACGATTTCAAATATTCTGCTTTTCCCCCCCATAGCTTTATATAGGACTCTACAGAAAGCAAAGGTGAGCATTACCTACATTATACAGCACAGGACATTTAACAGTAAACTGCACCCAACATCATGTCCACGGGGTGGCCCTATAGCCAAGGTTCCGCATTTTGCTATGTTTGGCGAAATTACATTTGAGTGTTTGGCTTTTCAGTGGGAAACCGGAGTAACCTGCAAGAAAAGCTACCCCGCGCATATGAGCGCAGGTGTAGACCCTACTCATTAAACATAAGCAAAGGTTTTTTTGTTTACGATCAACTTGGGTTTTTTTTTCCAGCGTCGTTACTTTTTCTTGATTTCCGCCAAATCGCTCATTTTGGCTTGCGGGCCAAGGCCATGGGTGGGGGGGGGTGTGTGGAGGAGGAGGGGGGGGCACCTTTCATCACGTCACAGTTCGTGTTGTCGACGTTGAAGCAAGACGACTTGATCCCCTGCGGGAGGCTGCTCCACCACTTGTACTCCAGCCCCAGCACGGGCTCCGTGCCGGCGGGGCACTGGCTGCACTCTGCCACAGGGCGGCGCACGGTGAATGTTACGGCGGTGGTTGTCAATCTGGGGTGCAGGCAACCCCCTGGGGGTGACGGATGCCCTTTCTGAGAACCAAAGTAAAGGTTAAGAACCACTGCATTGCGGAGGACTTCCATTTACTCACCGGCCTTCTTCGCCGGCAACACTCCCGTTTTATTTTTGTTTCGAGTGGACCAGGACCGTGTACCAAAAATGGCCCGAAAAAGAACACCCCCCCCCCCGGGAAAAAGGAAACCTTTGGAGACCCCAAGACCAAGTGACGCAAGGCCGTGAAGAACGAGCGGGCAGCAGCGATCGACCTCTCTTGGGGCGAGGCTCAACACGTTGCCGAGGACAGGGTGAAGCAGAGGGAACTCATTGTGCTCTCGTGTCCCATAGGGGATGAACAGGATTAACTAACTCTAATTATAATTGTATATTTGTGCCAGGCCATCAGAAAGGATCACACCGCCGATTAGTACGGTTGGCTACACACAGTGCCAAAGAAGTTCAACATGCATGCGTACATAGGATCGCATTATGTTTCAGAGTATGCCGGCAAAAAGGGCAACGCTACTTTGTGGGTGAACCCTCTTAATGAATGAATTGTCTCCAAACTATATCACACAGAAGGCACCCAATTCAAGAACACAGTTTGTTAGGCATGTAACAATGCCCGCCCCCCCCTGCCACCCCCACTCACTTCGCACCACCAAGCTATTTAATCAATTGTCAATTTAGGGTCATGATTCAATTCAACAATCCATTATTTTCTCTTGTCTCTGACACCTCGTTTGTATTGTTTGTCATTGTTGATGTCTCGTTTGCACAGTGAGTGTATCCTTCATGTAATGAGAGCATAATGTCCCAATATAATGGCACCAATCATAATGAATAGTTTCTCACACGCAAAACAACAACAAAGCAAAGGTATTTTTTGTTTTTTTTCTTCAAATGTTCTTGTTGTGGTTTTCACACCTGATGATGATTGCTTGCGTTGCAGTCGAAACGTCGTGAGAATTGTATTATTTTATATTTTTACTATTTTATTGTTTCCCTTCTACGTGCCTTTACCGAAAGAACCAAGAATATAACAAAGCCGCCGATATATTTATTTATTTACTTATTCATGGTCGATGAACCAATTAATGTTTCGTTGCACGCTACATTTTACATGCCCGTCCACGGGCGGAAGGCTCCACAAACGGGTGCGTCTGCTCGCCTGGGCAGGCATGGCTTTGCTTGTAGACGTGGCTGTTTGTGCTGCGTGTACCGGTCGTGCCGTTGGAGAATGTGCCCTGGGGACAAGGCAGGCACTTGGAGCCGTCGCTGCTGAAGTGGCCCGGGTTGCAGGGTGCACACTGCTGTTTCTTGCCCGGCTGCGGTAGGCTCACCGCACCCTCCAAATCCTCCCGGCACACCATCGGCTCCACCCAGCTGTACTGCAACTGTGTCTGAGACAGAAACGACACACACACACAGACAAACAAGAGGAGCAATTAACTACTGTTAAAATACAAATGGCAAAAAAATTAAATGTGGCTTGTGCCGTTGGTGGTGGAAGGCTCCTTCCCGAGTTCGATTCCCGCTCACGGCCAACACCAGTGACGATTATCTGGACAGGTCCTGGGCCTCCCTTAGGTTGACTCAGCTTCAAATGATTACCCGGTGCGGTGTGTAAACATCGCCACGTTGGAGACAAAGGCGGCTGGCCATGGTTCTGGTCACCCCACCCCCTCGTGTCCGTACCGGCCTTCATGGGTGCTTGCGAACAGCACTTGCCCCAACAGTCTGTTCAGGCTATACGGGGGATCTTTGCCTTTGGAAGGGTCGTGACTAGACGGAGCTCTATAGCGAGCCCATAGAGAAGGTATTTTAGCAAACTCTTTCACACCGACCAGACGCCTTCTTGGAAGAGGTGGGAGTACCCACACTTTACCCCATCAGACATGACCTGTCGATCGACTGTGGTGTTTCAACTGCCTACGGCGGGAGATCGAATCAGTGGTCCAATGTATTCTCTGCTACATCGTGGCAGTATCGCTTTTAGAGTTGTAGGCACAAGCGTTAATGACGTGTTTTTTTTTTATTTTCTTTGCGAATGCTAAAGTTCTGGACGTGTGGCAAACGTCCTCGAAATGACACGCAAGTCGGTTTTATTGCATGAGGTGTAAAGTTCAGTGTGCAATCACTGCTACCCAGTGAAACGGCAAGCAAAAGAGCTGTGGGGCATCATTTGTCGTCGTGAAGCGCAAGCAAGAAAGGAAGGTAACGCTAATATGCATAAACTGCGGCGAATGCGATGGTGCAGTGGATTGCGAACTGCGCTGTGAAAGCGGCAACCAGAGTTTGATTCCCAGTCATCACACACATCAGTGCGAGCGCTATCTGAATTGGTTTTGGGCCTCCCCCATTCACCAACCGGAATAAACTAAACGGGGGGGGGGAAGTATGTTCAAACCCCCAATGTATTTTCAACCTTACGTGTGAAAATATGTCGAAAACCCAGATCTAGAATCTGGAAACACGAGTTAGTGCATCACTGTATTAAAATTCCAGTGTGCAACCTCATCCAATCACCAGAAGCCGGCAGCCTCCACGTGTGGTGTGGCAACGTACCCTCATATATGGGTTAGGTAAAAACCCTTATAACACAATGTGCACACACTGAGGTCGTCAGGTGGTTGAGGTAGAGAACCCTGAGTCAGCACTGCTGAGGCCCTTGGTCTGAATCCAGGCAGTCACCAATGACTCAAACGGGTTTTCAAGTTCAGCGAGTTGATAGTCACATCCCAGCGCCAATGACCAAACAATAAAACCATCAAATTATGTTTTTTTTATTTAATCTGCTGCAAAAAAAATGAATCTGTCAGTTAAAAATAAAATGTCAACAAATACCTAGAACACAGCACGTGAGAAAGTGCAGTGCCCCCTCGTGTGGATATGAGGTCACTTTTATATATCTCACAAGTAGTTCTGTGATGTTAACTTTCCTTGGTTTATTCTCAAACAGAGTTCCAAAAGACACTGTCTCACTGCATGACACAGGAGAGTCAATTTTTTATTGGAATTAAAAAAAGTAAAATTACTAATCAATAATAAACAACGTAGAATAATTTAGTATTTTGAGCAAAAAACGTATTACCCTTCGCAACATTTTCACCTGATTCTTGTAAACACCTGTCTAATGGAGAAAGGGAATTAATGTACAGCAATGAGATCCAACCCAAAAAACTTCTATTTTAGATGACACTAATTATTAAGGGACTGAATTTGCAATGCTGCACAGGTGTGAATTATAAGCCCTGGCCATATTCGTTATTGACACTGCTTTGTAATACAAACATATTTTGTGCAACTCAAACTTTCCGGCTTCTCTGCGCGCTGTGAAAAATGTGCATTGCCAGAATGGTCACCCCACTTATATATTTTTCTTTGTAAGGTAGTGTTATTTTAAGAATTCGTTGACTATTTAAGTAGGCTGATGTTTCAGTCAATGGGCCCTGTCAAGAGCATGAGGCCTGAAGCACTTTCTATTTTTTTTTACCTGTCCTTCCTCATCGCAAGGAGAGTGCGTGAAGATGTAGTCATCTGCAGTGCATGGCTCCTTTGGCTTGCACTCACTTGACCCAGGATCTGCGGAGTGTCGATGAAAATAGAAACTGAATGTGACACTTTTTCGTCAGGTGTCAAATGGAAACTTTGATATAATTCAGTGTATGAAGCCACAATTATTGCATGCAGATTTTGCCGAAGTTAAAACAGCATTAGCTGATTGAATTGGTATATTAGGCAGGGTTACCCCCATGGGTTAATGTACAATGAAACAATACATGACAATTAGCACATTTTATATAAAGCATACCAAGCAACAATGTTAAGTGAATTCGCTGCTAAGTATCTCTTGGTCCTGGTTACACGCTGGATTTTTGATATTTACATTTTAAACTTCTCAACTGGTTTACTATAAAATTGGGTGGCACCCCTCCATGAGTACCTGTGTTTTGAACGTGGCTTAATCGAACATATCATTCGATAAAGGCATATAAATGTATATGAAGAAAAATATTGACCACATCTTAAGACCAACCAACCAAAAACAAAAAGCATGGTTGTAAAGAAACTAAACAATTAAGGCATTCGATGATGTTTTCCAAAAAAACTGAATCAGAAAAATCACAGCATAAATATAAATGTAGATATATAGTGCAGCCAAAAACGAAACCAAAAAAGCATGGCGATAAAGAAAATTACAAAATGAGGGCATACCTGAGTAGTAGTCATGCTCACAAAAGGAGCACATGTATGAACCTTTCGCTGCGTAGGTGTTCTTGGGACAGAGCTGGCAGGAGCTCGCCCCCTCGTCCTGACTAAACGTGCCCGCCTTACACGGGAAACACTTAGACGTGTAGGAAATTCCTGCAATACAAGGGGGCAGCATACACCAGTCGTACACACTTTTAATTGATGTAACGCCCGTGGCAAAAACATTACACAAAGTGTTCAACGGATGACAGCCCACGGAGGGTTGCCAGCTGTCCTGATTTTCCCAGGATGTCCTCATCTTGATTTAGCTTCGCAGGACTTTGAAAGTTTACAATTTGTGTCAGTTGTGCAAAAATACACCACTTAAGACAGTGCACTGACACGTAGTTCTCCCCTCTTCCAGTATTTTGAGACATTCTTCTTACCATGAAAAATAAAATCCTGGTTTTATTGTACCACAGTTGGCAATAAAGAGATTTCCCGCACCTTCAATTCACACGATTGGCTTCGTACGGTGAGAAAGAAGTTGAACATACTTACGTACATACATACAAGTCCACTGACGTTACCTATTTGAAGAGTGATTAACCGAGTCCAACTTTATGGGAAAAGATTTTGGTTTTACAATGGGGTTTATTTGTCCAGGTAATGTCCAAATTTTGCATTGGGATTTGGGCTCCAATATCAGGACACGAATAAAGTCAAAGACTAATTAATATCCAACGTGATCCAGACAGTGATTCTTGACTCCATGCAGACAAACCAAGTGTTTAGCCAGGCAGTGATGACATACTCCTGTAATCCAGCACTGCAGAGACAAGTGCTGGATTGCAGTTTTACAACAATGCCCTTCCTGTGGGCATCGAGTTGCCATACCCTGGCTCACCAGGTGATTCAGTACAACAATAACGTGGACTCCACTTGTTCCATCTGAATCGGATAGAGTGCTGACCCCTTACATCCGTGGATTTTCTCCAGGTGCTCCGTTTATCTTCCACACGTACTCATTAATTGGGCAATAACACCTTAACATATAGAGGACTGCTGAGCTTGGGAAGGAATTTGGTGGCAGCTCACTGCCTGGCAACCGCCTTTCCCGCTTGCCTGTGGTTTGTCGCGCCACCGAGTGGTTCTCTCTCGAAGGAGAGAGCACACACTGTGTGGAGAAACGCAAGCCGAACTTATTATCGTCATTGTTGTTCCATTCGTGCCGTTGAATAAACGAGAGAGTGCGGCCGTTGGGGCTGCTGCAAACCTGTAATGTGAATGCTGCGCATGCGCACAGGCTTGGGATCTTCATTGTCCTTGTGCATGACCATGCCCGTTGTCCTCCAGTACAGCACATTGCTCCCTTTCGGCAGTTTCACCTGTGCAATTAAAAGATAAACACAAGACACACGTGACAATTCGCTCCCCACCGCTCATTCGATGAACTGTCACAAGTAGGGGTCAAGACGCGATTACTTTGTTCTGCCCTTGTGGTCAACGTAGAATCGACACAGTTTAACACGGAGGCTTTCGCGAGCAATATCATCCATGACACATGTTTTTTTTGGGTTAGGTCGCCTAAATATATGTATGCGTCGTTAAACCCGCCACCACCCCGACACAGCCAATTATTAAGGTTTGTTACATACCTGATGTGCTTTTGTTTGTGCTTTTACAGCACTGCAAATGCAGCATCACAAAATAATTCACCATCGAAGCATTTCCCAGAATTCCAGTTATTACCACCGACCAGTCCAGGAAAACTGCGTGGGTCAGAATGTGCAAGTGATGCGAGTGGAAGGAAAGAGATCAAGAGGAAGGCAGAAGAAGAGGTGGAGGGTGGGGGGGCGATGTGGTGCGACCGGACATGGTGGCCCGAGGAGCAGAGAGAGAGATGGCGCAGGACATGGCAGCGTGGGGAAGGTTGGCAAGGAGAGCGGAACACCCCACATTAGTGGGACAAACGCGTGGAGGAAGAAGAAGACCACCGACTAGTCCAAAGGAAATGAATCTGTTACACATTGAGGCATTTGACAACCATGTCAACATGGACAATGGTGGTGTGTGGTAATTACATCATGGTTTCTCAAATTCCACTCCTGGCACCCCACCATAGTCTCCCTTTCCAAGTGTTTAATCTTCTATGTTCTATTTTAAATTGCGTGCGGTAATTCGTCTCCATCACGTGGGGGGGGGGGGGGGGGGGGTGTTCGCCAAGAATCAGGTGTGTGCAGCATGCAACAACTTAATTTGTACTTGAATGGGGATGATTGATTAACGTGAAAAGGCGGATCGAGGTGGGGTGTGGGGAATGGAGTTTGGGAAACCCCGAGCTCCGGATTGGGAATTCCCATCCCACAGATATGTTGAAGATATAGAACACAGTACACCTTGTGTTTACATAGCATTCAAATGAAACGACATCTCAAAAAAGTCGCACAGAACAGGGGGGGGGACAACAAACAACAGCAATTAAGAAAGGAAACTATCCAGGGCAGAAAATGAGGTACACTAGCCCCTCATTATAGAAGAATGTAATTGTCATCAACGCTTGAAGATCATCACGCGATATTTATACCGCGATTCCCATGCAGTGCATCTGAAGGTGCCCTGTGGCAGTCGAGCCAAATGGGGTAAAACCTGGTGGCAGCTGTCCCTCTGCGGGACAAGGTGAAAACAGCACTGGGCTTTGAAGTTGGCATCAATCTGCCAGAAGGGGGTGAGATGTTCCTATGTGGCTTTTCCAAATCAAGTAATGTGCAAGTACTGTACTTGCTCAAATTTTTGGGATGCGATGCCAGCATACATTTCCCGCTCGTTTTCGAATATCAACGGGATCCTTAATGCCCACTGAGAAGCAGACGGAGAACATTTACTTGTTAATACACCTGCAGTATTAACCAGGCAGCTGCTGCTGGAACAGCAAACCTCTGTAACAAGCGCAAACGTTGTATCAGTGGGCCCTGTCAGCGCCAATGGACACAGGAACTGCCCAAGGTGACCTTTATTTTTTCTCTATCGTGTATAAACACACACACACACACTGCAATGCCATTAAACACACAGATACTCTGCAATGTCATTAGCACACACTCTGCAATTGTATTAAAAACATTCGTCCTCTATGATGGCCTTGTGCTGTATACAGTGTAACCACAAGGAAGTAGTTTTTTTCCCCATTGTAAACTATCCATGAACATTCAGCATAAAGACAAGGCCAATGACATTAATTGCATTGAATAGTAATCTACTGCCCTTTGCCAATCCACTGCTGGATGAACGTTTATCCACGTGTTGTTGGGCATGGAGGTTGTTTTACCATACTTCACCATGCAGCTCAGTGCAGGGGGTGTTGGGGGAGAGAACAGGATCATTCAGATATCACTCGCCACTGATACGGGCTGTGGTGGAGAATCAAAGTCATGTCGTCGGGCTCATTGCTCAGCGTGTTAACCACAGAATGATTGCTCTACCTCCCACACTACATTTGTATTAAAACGTGTACATTATTGCATATCAATGCTTGGCTTTATTTTCAAAGGGAGGTAATGGATACACACGTAATATTTAAAGTATCAAAGGGTACATAAACAGTATACATTATAACCTTGGCATTATATTTGAACACTAAGAAGTGCAGTGCATGTGGCTAAGCCTGCAGTCAAGAAGTGCATGTATGTGGGGAGATGATATTCACCAATTACATTTAATACAATCCTAGATTATTCCTTTTCCAGATTCAAGCCAAGGTACCAATATCGCAGCTCTGATTATCACGGTTAGCTACGTACGGTGGAAAAGAAGTTGTCTCTAACCCACACTCGCATTACTCTCAACCGTAACTCTATTCACGTATAACCCATCTTCCACCATTGACAAATTGGTTACAAACAAAAAAACCTCGAATGCATTCTAATTGGAATGAGAGAAGTAAATAAATTCATTCTCCCCAATATCCCCCCCCACCGCCCATTCTCAGAAGTATATATATATTTTTATTTTCGCAATTCAAGCGAGCAATCAATTAACTGATTATTTTGTTTTCAACGTCTTTTTTTGTATTGTTGTATGTTTATATTATATATTGTTCATACAGGGGTTGTAGGCTCCATTTGTCTTGTTGTAACATTAGCATATCATTATGATATCATTTACATTAAAGAAACACACAAAAGACATTACACGCACTATTTACGATGTGTATTTCTGCATTGTAAACCTTAAGAATCGATTTTAAATCAATGAATCGACGCAGATTTTCACCCCTAACCACATTACAAAAAAGGATTTTATAAACGAATTGGCTGTGTCCCAGAGCCAATCAGATTGTACCAAACATAATTAAGAAAAAAATATCCAATAACGTGTTCTTATACGAATGTAGTTCTACTGCAGTATAAGTTAATGCATGAATAACTAAGAATCATGACTAGGAATGAAGAAAAAACAATACTTACTTCGTGTGAGACCCACTTGCCAGTTTCAGATATTGGCATGTATTTAACATTGCCTTTGAAGTCTGTCATTTGACACTGATCATTTTGTACCTGAAGAGGACATTGACATTTCATTAAATGAACATTAAATGGCCAAAGCATTAAGGGCAATCCCAACCAATGTACAACAAAATGCAACGTACAATCACAATCAGCTAACTACTTTGACCTGGCTTATCTGTTTTCACCATGCCATCTTATGACCAAGTCACATTCAATGCATCTCAGCTCATCAGCTCTTGTAAGCTAAGCAGCGTTGGATCTGGTTGTTAACTTGGATGGGTGACCACCAGTTCTTGGCAGGTGTTGTAAGCCATGGGGTTACATGTTGTGGCTAGGAGATGGCAGTGCTCAGCGTCATATGCCAAACATTCAAATAATTGCAATAGCAACATCCCAATGCAGAGCCCTCATGAATACAAGTCTTTAGACTCAAGTGAGGCTTTCCTGGTTAATCATTAATATTATTACGGATGCAACTATGAAATGTAACAGAATAATCAGCCCACCAGTTCCATCACAGTCACTTTCCATATCAAAACAATTTCAACAATTTATACTAGTAGTTAAACAAGTTTTAAGATTCCTGCACTTGTATTAAAATTGTATGCATAGTCATGTAAAAATGAATGCATTTTAAGTAGTAAGGGTATTGCAGTCAACAATACATTAAAACACCGCATCAGTATTTGTTTCCTGCATTGTTCAATGACAACGTCTGAAATAATGTTTCATCTCACTTGTGAGTTTAAATCTCCCTTGTGAGCCAGGCACATTGTCTGGTTAATATGAAAATAAAGCATTCCATTTTGAGAACGCATGTTTTACAAGAATATGTTTGAAAATATTTGAAGAAAAAAAATACCATCACAAATTATTATGAACTGTGGTCCTATTGCCTGGCATTTATGTAACCTTATATAACCTTGCATTAAAGACATACCACAGTGAAATTGTGGCCATGCAACCCCACTATGGATCATATAGAAAACCAGTCATCTGCATTCCTTCTACGGAGGAGGAATAGGAAAACTACACGATCTCTCTCGCTCTCCTGAAGCCCTCTTTGCCATGGCTAGCAGATCCTCAGCATTTAGATGTAGCTGCAGAACACATTGCCATACGCAAGAGCAGACTAAGCTTACAAAGAATTCAAAGAACATGTTGGAGTCGGTGTATTGGTACTCGAACGCAATTGTTCCCTCCGTCTTGAGATTCACTCGGTAGATGAGTGACGCAGAGCAGTCATCTCTGTTTGACTCAATATACTGATCCTTTGGAGTCCAAAGTGACCTAAAAATAAAGTTAAACATCAATTTAAACCTGCTGTTAGATGATAACTTTAGAAAAATATGATTGTGATTCTACAAAGATGTAAGGAGTTTAAAAAGATGATATATTAAATGCTCAGGTATGTATATAAATGAAAGAGCAAAATTAAATATATAATCAGTGTCTGGAAATAAACAGCACTTTCCTTTACATTTGTTCTCTTAGATCGTAAATTTAACTTTGTCTATATCAGCTGCTTGAAAATATTATATGTATAATGTACACTGAGTGACCAAACAGTTTTTGACTTTTAAAGATGTTAAATAAACACTTTCATTATTACATGGATTCTGTCTCTACATCATTTAAAAATGTATAACTGTGCCATAAATTGCATTGCCTTTAATTCAATTAAGTAGAATATGGATATAAGCCACACCCCTTGGGATCGCTTGTATCAGATTGCTGCTCCTTTGCCTTTCTCTCGCCAGCATAAAGTAGCTGTACTATACTGCATTGGTTACACATTGTACTCGGTTCAACATGAGAGAATGAACACATCGACGTGACGACTCACTGGTTGCAGCTGTTGACATCCGATTGGAGGTTTACGCTCTGGCTGCTGGATGCAGCCAAGAACCCAGTGGGGAGGACATCCCACTCGTCAAAGCGAACCCCAGAGCCGAGGGAGTAGGTCCCAGGTGTACACTTGATGCAGGTCTCCGTGGGGATGTTCAGGAACTCTCCCGACCCACATGAGAAAGCTAGTCCAGGAAGCGTCATTGGGTGTCAGAAATCAACATTATGGTGGCATGAAGACGGATAAATGCTGCACCGGTGGAGCAATAATCATTTTAAAAATGTAAACGCTCCTCTGCGTGGGTTATCACGGGGGCGTGCTGTACAACTCTCCGATGGGTTTTCGCTTTGCGTGATGGCCGGCATGATGTCCGACGTTTTAATCCACGTGCTGGGAGTTACTTCAGTTGCCGAGTTTCTGAAATAGCTCACAGCACTTTGGAGTGAAACGTTGGACATCATGACGAACAGCACGCGGTACAACCCGAAAACAGATTGATGAGCAAATTAAACTGCTTATCGTGCAGTGCACAAATCACTACGCCACTACTCTCCCGGTATGATCTCAGCAACTATGTCTTTATGTACGCTTCCGCCAACCTCACACGGATGTGTATTGCCACCACTTGCACACCCGTCGTTTCACTATGCATAATGAGTGCGAGCGTGATGCTTGCTCACAGCATTCTTTTCCTTGCGTGGGTTCTGGAAATCCTATGCAGCTGCCGGGTATGTTGGGTATAGCCACCCTCCATCGCGAGTTTGTGTTGTCGCACTCTGTGTACTCAAAGTGGTAATCCACCTGTAATGGACAAACAGAAGCGTTAAGTAATGCTCTTATCACCTGCAGCAGTGCCAACTACTGCAGTGCATTAAGTGTACGATTTTGTATTCATAAACATCAAAAAGGAGGCTATGCGGTGCACCCTTTCACGTTTCTCCTCCTGCACTTAAGGATCATCATGAAATTGCTTTAGTTTCGCTATTAGAGCCTCTGGCATCTATACTGAAACTTGAGGATAAATATGTGGGTGTAATTTACGCAACTTGGAGAGATCCACATTTTTTATACACAGCTTATGAAGGCGTTTCTATTCAATTTTCTTAACTAATAATTGTCAGTAAGGAGTAGTTGTATATGCATGCCCATATCTGATTGTGTGTACAAGTTGCCCCAATGCTCCAGGTCTTGGGTAAATCTCTACGCAAGCACCACCAATATGTGTGGTTCTCAGACGACAATCTGGTGTATAATGGACATTTTTTAATCGCAAATTGTTTTTTCCTAAAGGTACATGTTACCGGTTTTATTTTCTACATTGACATAATGAAGAGGTAAAGCGCTTACATTTTATATAAACCTTATAGAGTATAGGATTTGAAGTTTTCGTGACTGCAGGGATCCATACTCTTTGGTTCTTACGTGACTTTACCGAAAGAACCAAAGAGTATGGATCCCTGCAGTCACGAAAACTTCAAATCCTTATAAAGTATATATGTAGATGCATTTTCAACGTCAAAGGTTACACGTCTGGGCTCAAAGCGAGGACAAAAACGTGGAAAATGGGGCAGCAAAGATAAAAAACAAGACAAATAACATTGTAAAAAATAGCTGGCCACGTGGCTCAGGGCTCAGAGAGCCGAGCATGCACTGCTGAGATCCTGATTTTGAAGGGGGAAGCGACCTGTGGTGAAAAGAGGCATATCAAGAGTAGCAAGTTGATGGTGTCAGCCCGGTCAGCAGTGACCATACACAAATAAACATACATCACATTCGATTTTTTTTAGTTTTCGTTTGAATTGGCTAAATTCTATCCCTGATCATTTTAAAAGTGATATATTTGGTTTGTCGTGCGGCTAAGAATCTAATAGCAGAGCTTTATGTGAATACGTGCTCCTGAATGTGCTTAGAATAAAATTGTCACTCGAAGTATGTATATTTTTTGTAAGTCTTGCTGAAAATGTATTCCACGTGCCTTTCTCCCATGCACGTGGCACATTGCTCTGTGAGATGTACAAATGTATTCTTCACGTCACATCATGCCACTCATAGTGAAGTTGTAGTAAACTGGTGCAAACGCCTATATGTTATTTGACAAAACAAACCGATTCGCTAATCAAATGATTGTACCAATCATCAAATCACTATGGGGTGTATCCTTACAAATCCATAGTGAGGACTCTCCCAGACGCTCTTTAAAAGTCAAAGGAATTTGCTTTCGCAGCACTTGAAAATACATTAAACTCTACCTTTTAAATGTCTCCTTTGACAGTGTTTAGCCGCCAGCTATACAGCAGCTGTGTTGAATGTTACAGCTTATTACCAAATCAGTGGAATTGCCCTCTTGTATAGTTTGGAGGAGTTCTATTGTAGCCCTTTCTGTCTGCGCTTTGTTGCAAATGAAACATTTTCAATTTCCTCCAAATCCTTCATTGTGTATGGCTCATAAACCTAAAACTTGGCATCACAGTCACTATTCTTTGCGGTCTTTTGTAAGCCGTATCATCACATACGGCGGCTACCGAGACCAATCCCGCGTGGGACGCATTGCAATGCTCCGATTCGTGTCGCAGCTTTCTTCCAGCGTCTCCATTTGACGGCAGAGGTCACCACCGGGCACTCTCAGGGGTTTCCTGACGGAGCACATCCCTCCCAAATAAAGTAGAGGCTAAACGATTATGTACTTGATATGTTTGTATTTTTAATTCACCGCGTCACTAAGTCAAACGCTATAGTGAGTGTAAAGTGAATGTTTTTAAAAAAAAAAAACCCGGAGTTTTCTGTTGCCTAGACAGGATTTGAGGCAAGACGAGTACTCCCTTTCAAGATAAAATGTCCTGCTGTGCATCTCAACATTCAGAGTCCTGGCAACTTCTAAAGCTGATAAATACCACGATGAAGTTAAGAGGATTGGATATCTAAAAAAAAAGCACCTCTTTTGTCAGGCTGATGATGGTGGAGCTAAAACGAAACGAGACCACGACACTGTGCTGTATTATTCTGCAAGTACTCTCAAGCACAAATTCAACCACGTCACCACATCACCATTGAGAATGTGTGAGCACACCACGCATACAAAATACCAAGGAAACTTTTTTACCGAGTCTCAGACTTTTTTCAGGCCAGTACTGCGTTGAAATGTTTTTGGTTATTTCATTCACGGTGCGAAAGAAATTCAACATACACACGTGTGTGTTGGTGTCGTGTGCGAGGAAAGCGCAGAACCTGAATAAATGCCACACATATGACGGTTTGAAACTCAAGCCACCTCAAAGCCCCACTCCTACAATACAAAGCAATGCATCGTTGTGCCTGAAAAGTCCTGGTGGTCACACGTCTACTCAGTTTAACACGTAGGCTTTCGCGACCAATATTATTCATAATACAGGTTTTTGGGTTAGATCGCGTTATTTATAAATGTGTCGTAACCCTCCACCACTCGACACGGCCAATCAGCAAAAAAGTGTCACGTTGACAAAAGACAAATAGTTCACTACTTTAGCCCACCGGTGTGTTGAAGAGTGAATCCACAACATTTACAGTCTAACTCACAAGGCTCCAGTCTGGGTAGCTTCGACAATCTGATGAGTTTGAGAGTGCTTTCATGATGACTTGATCATATCTTTATTTCCAAATCACATCCGGAATTTTATTTTTCTCCGAAGATCAATTTGGCAAGCTTCATGGCCTAATTTAAAATAAAGATTTAGTGAACAGTGGCCGATATACTGTACTGTTTATGTGGAGGTGATAGTTGAGTGGTTTTAGTCTTGCAAAAGCATTCATTCTTTTTGAGGAATGTCAATGGCTCAACAGGTAGGACCAGTTCTTTCCACGAACAGTTTTTGGCGAGTTTTGCTCCTGTGTTGAGGTGTGTGTGCTTGCATGCGAGGCGTTTTTAACTCGTGCAGAATTCCCCTCTCTCTTCATTTAACTTTTCCTGCGATGACACAGGATCGTGGCGAAGTTGCCGACCTTTCTCCAGCCCACAGTGCCACACTGTTTGCTGTCTCTGCCTGGGCAGAGCACAAGTATAGGTTCTACGAAATCAACAACATAGTCAAACATTTACTTGAGCGAACAAAGCCTCGCTGAGTCACAAGACACCTTTTCAGGAAGGTCTTGCATTGGAGCCGAATCCATGTGAGTGTTTGTGGCATGTCAGAGGAAACTGGAGTATCCTGTAAAAACAAATCCCACATGAGGGGATAACACACAACGCTGCCGAAAGATAGATGCAATCCAGAAGTCACCAGTGGTTGCAGCAGTGGGCAAGATTCTTAAATCCACCCGGCAGGAGACTGTACAATCGATCGACAGGTAACGTGAGGTGAGATAAAAGTGGGTTATAGTACTCACACCTGTTCCGAGATGTCTGTGGGGCCGTCCATAAATGACGTCATGCGATTTTGGACGATTTTTGCCCCCCTCCTCGTCACACGGCGTCACAAACAGTCAGACCCCCCCCCCCCTCAAATATGACGTCACAAAGCTCTGCCCCCGCCCCAAAACCATATTTCCATTTTGAAAATAAACCATGCTTCAAATCGCTTTAAACTATTGTCATTGTAGTGCGTATTTAATGTGGCGCTACACTCTGATGTTGTAGGAGTGTTGTGATAACAATTAGTCTTGTTATAACAATTATATATTTATTTAAATTTGCGCATTTTGATGTGACGTCACATTTCTCACCCCCCCCCCCCCTCGTCACACATCGTCACAAATGTCTGACCCCCCCCCCCTCTAGGTGCGTGACGTCATTTATGGACGGCCCGTCCAGTATGGAATAAGAGGCCAAAAAAACCCTCCAGAGTGGCTCTCTAGAGCGTCTTCTAGTGGAGGGCAACCCGCCAGCAATAGCGAGAGCAAAAATTGAGGATCTGCCCCAATTATCAATTGTTTACCTTAAATGTATGTTATAAATCTGATGCCAGCAAAATCGAACTTTAGATTGATGATCCAAGTACTGTACACACACCACCAATTATTGTGTGTTGTGTGTGTGCGTGCGCATAATAATTGTACGATGTGTTACTTTACTACACAGTAGTTGCAATACAGTGCGTGCGAGCGTGACAAGGTGCAACGAGTAGTGTGAACGCTTACCAATCTGTACACTGCGACTAGTGTTACTCACTGAACCCCTCACTAAATGTTAATCATTACGGGCAACCATGAGCCACCTGGACTACGGCCTCCACACTTGGTATCGAGATTGCAACAGTGGATCCGGAGATCCTGGACGAGACGATTTCACATCATTCCATCTCCGCATTGCAGTGAGAAAACTTCTCGGGCCACGCATTCCCTCTTTTTGGCTGTCACTGCTCTATCAGTCTCGATCACAGGCCAACAAAAAAAACTTGTCACGGCCCAGGCCCAATTACTGTGCTTAGCAGTCAATATGTTGTCTCTAACTCGTGGTGTTTTCTGCCTGTCAGTGTAATTCCGAGCGCGTTCCGCTCGCGGTCCTGCTTTGCTCACTTTACAGATTTTTGTTCCATTTTATTTGTCAATGTCCAGGTTTGTTGTAATCCATATCGTGGCAGGTACAGTAATACGCACGGGTTATTAAAAACTTTCTTCAGGCAAATTAAAATACTACAGTATTTTACTTCTCATTGTTAAATTCGGTTTTTCAAAAGCGCTAAAAACATGCTCTCATCCAACTCTTTATTTAATAATTTTGAACCTTAAAGTTTTCTATCACTAGGTGAGATCCCATTGATAAACTGGGGGTGGGGGGAGGGAAACGAAATTTATACCACTGATGAGGTGCAGCTTGACTGAACTTAAAT